ATTAGAAATGCTGTTTTATTACTCTCTCATACATAAAAATAGACTATAGTGATGACGTTGATGAAAATACTTTAATTTACATTTAATTTTCTAGATATTTTAATATTGTCCATTTTCATTTTACGACGACATTTTTCATGCTTTTTTCATATCCCGGAACAAATTTATTAAAATATTCACCTATGAACAAAACGAACGAAAGGAAATTATTCTGATACTATGCTGAATTCACTGAATATTTTGTCTACCAGATTTTTTTTAATTTGAAATATTTTTCTAATTTTCTTTGACCAGGGGAGGTCATGTATTACTTTTTGAACACAAAAGGCCTGGATCTCTTTAGAAAAATTCTCTAGTTATCTACTTTTTACTGTCAATAGTATATTGTATCTATTTTACCTACATTATTAATATGTTCCAAGTAGTCGTTTGTAATTATATTTTTAAACTACTTGGAAATTACTTGAATAGAAATACAACAAATCTTTATTTCAGATGGGATGAGTAATGCTCGTACGTTTATTTATACAATGTTCTGAGAAGATAATTTTAGACGAACATAATTATTAGATATTATAAATAATATAATTATGCTTTATTCAATAGTAAAATTGATGCGCCATTCCTTTATTTTAATTTTTATTTTTTTCATGATCAAAAGTGCAGATACATCTTTGTCTTTGTTTTGTTGTTCAAGGATAATATTATTCTGAAAAATCAAGATATGTTTTATTATTCTTCGAAATAATAATATTTATTGGATTTAAAAATAGTAAATTTTAAAATATCTAAGTACCTATCTACAGGGTGAGATGCTCATTGAAAGTGAAATTAGTTCAAATTTTATTTATTTATAATAGTTTATACAGGGTGTCTGTAAAATTACCTTAGTACAAAGTTGCTTCGTTTGGGCTCCAGAGGGCCTTGAACTTACAATTTTTAAATCGTTTTTCCCATATAAATTTAAAACGGCATATGCGATTTTGCTGAAATTTGGTATATTGGTAGAGTTTTATGTGGCAAAAAAATGGTATTAAAATTTTATCCGATAATAATACAAAGGCGTAGAACTTGATTTTTTAAATAATTGCACCTTTAAAAATTCTACGCCAATGGAAGAAAAGGAGTTTGAGTATGAAATTTAGATTGCGCAACTCATTTACTTTAAAAAAGGTACTCTTGATAAGATTCGATTACTCTCATGGTTTTCGCTAAATTTCTGTTTTAATAATTTAGAGTGTATAGGTTTCACAAAAATATTTATTTACAACATAATCAAAATAGAGATTTTACAAAAATTGTTCAAAATGTTCACCATTTTCACGCATACAAAGATTTATACGTCGAAGAAAATTAAAATGTATCCTTTCCATAACTTCTTCATCACCTCTAAGATTGTTTATTGCATCTTGAATACGTTGCCAGAGTTGTTCCTCATTTTCTACAGGTTCCCTGTAAACTGTGGATTTCAGATGTCCCCATAAAAAGCAATCCATCGGTGTTAGGTCTGGGGAACGTAGTGGCCAGTTTACAGGTGCGTCATTACCTCTGCCTATCCATTTGTGTGGATATTATTCATTTAAGTGGTTTCTAACGTTTAAAGAAAATTGTGGTGGAGCTCCATCTTGCATAAACCACATATCTCTCCGAAGTTGGAGAGGTAAATCTTCTAACAATTCTGGCAACGTATTTTGTAGAAAATCCAAATAATTTTCTCCAGTTAATCTTCGTGGAAGTATAACAGGACCAACAATGAAATTACCAATTATTCCAGCCCACACATTAATTTTGAATTCGTGCTGAAAATGGTTTACCTTTATTGCATGCGGATTTTCAACGGCATAAACATGTTCATTATGGGTATTAGTTATACCTCTTCTTGTAAAACCCGCTTCATCGGTAAAGAGAACCTTCTTGACAAAGTTTGGATCTCTTTCTCTTTGCATATTAACAAATTGACAAAAACCCAAACGAATTTGAGGATCATGGACTAATAATTCTTGTACTGGCTTCTTATGGTATGGATATAGCAATTGTTCTCTAAGCACTTTATGAACGATATCTTTACTTACTCCTAGTTCCCTTCCAATTCGTCTTGAGCTTAATTCTGGATCTTCTTCAACACGTTCTAAAATGTCTTCTTCAACTTCAGGAATCCTTACAAAACGTTCTCTTCCATTATCAACAGTGTTGGGAGCAAAGGAACCGGTCTCCCGAAGACGTCTCTCAACAGCAGCAAAAGTTGGGTGGCTAGGTACACGATGATTTGGAAACCTTTCAGAGTACACCCTGACACTCTCTCGAGCATTTCCTTCACAAAATCCTAATGTCAGTAACATATCGGTATATTCTGCATTGGTATATTGTACAGCCATATTAATAAACCACCCATTTGTTTTTTTAATTATTGAGTCAGATAGAACACTTTCAATCGTTAACAAGAGATTAGGTGTTAAAACTTGACCATATTTTTATTCAGATGAAACTATGGAAATCAACAATAAATGTTTTTGTATACGTATTGCAGGCAAATAATTAATATTCCTCAAAAAATCGTACATGGCAAGAATCGAGTATTTTTGTTAAAAGTCTCGATTAGAGATGTTGAAGAAGATATGAAAAAACAACATTTTTATGTTTTTCATCGTATAAAATTTTGTCCTATAATAATACATAGACGTAGAACTTGATTTTTTAAATAACTGCACCTTTAAAAATTCTACGCCAATGGCAGAAAAGGGGTTTGAGTATGAAATTTGGATTGGGTACTCATTTACTACAAAAAAGTACCCTTGATAACACTCGATTTACTCTAATCATTTTTATCAGAGATAAATACTACGCTATAAGCAAATATAAACTTCCATCTTTTAAAAATGGTATAAAAAAAGTTCTTTTTTATTATCAATCGAGTAACATGATAAAATAAAAAAAAGTCTATTTTTTCCCAATCTCATGTATATTGTCAAAATGGTAATATAAAAAGTTGTTTGTCTTTTATTATATACAGAGTGGAGTGATAAAATTTTATAGGTCCATATTGGTAACAGGATGGCTTTATTCATTAATATTTTGGGATAATTTTGATCTTCCAATAATCTTAGTCTTAGTTTTACGTTTGTTGAAAATATATTAGTTTTTATATCAGTAAATATTAACGGCAGTATGGCGTTTTGTGATTACCAAATTTCAACGCTCTATGCCCTTGTTAAAGTATAATATATTATAGCAGAAAGTAAAATAATCCAGACACGAAGCAGCTGTCTACGGTTTCGCACTTATTATTATTTAAAATGCTTCCTCCTCTTTCAGAGACCGAATAATATCGAAATAAAAACCGCAACGCATTTGTAAAGCCGTAATTCGTACCTACACACATTTGTCGTTTTTTAGTGGCGTTTAATATGGCGAAACAGCAGTAGATGGCGTACGAGAGTCCGTAGAGCCTTTGGGGCATTGTCTTTAGCATTTTTTGTCGTTAGCAAATTACAGAAAACCGTGGAGCGGAAATAATGGCGAATACAATGCAGACTCACGCACACACGTCACTCATCGAGCATATACTTAAATACCCTTTCGAATGTGTATAGGGCGAGTCTGAGGAATTTTTAAATAGTAGGTATTATAAATGCTGTTATATACGGGGTTTCACAAGTAATGAATATAATTCACAGTACTATTAATGGACGCTTCTTCATGATCTTTTCCTGCAACTAAAATTGCAATGTCGTTTGCAAATCTATCGGTTGGCTATGTCGTTAATATATAGTAGGTAAAGGGGTCTATTCTGTAACAATTCCTTTATATTTAACGGCCTTTAAAATTATTTTCTTCTTTACTTCTGTCATTATTTAAACGGATCTTTAAAATACATTAAAGAACTATCTTAAAGAAATCTGTTTAAGTAATGACAGAAGTAAATTAACGAATACGAAAATATTTTAAAGGCCGCCAATATTTTTAAAGGCTGCCAATATTTTTAAAGGCCGTTAAATATAATGGAATTATTACAGAATAGTAGAGCTGTGGCAAACCGTATGTATTCGTTACTCAGTAACGGGTAGTCGGTCAGATACGAAATACGAATTCGTTACTGCATTTTAAATTTCGTTACTCGCATTCGCATCGTCACATAACGCACAGTCGCACAATAATAATACTTGAGAATACATACCGCCACCGGTTCGGTGTGCAAGATGCGAGATGGCCCGATGGGCGATGCGAAATGCGAGTGTGGCCTTGATGCGAATCGACTATCGAACCGCACGTCGACTGGGACTCCGAGAGTTCGAAACGTACTTTTGTTTATATTTATGTATTTATTTATTTCAGTTTTAAAGAATAGTATAATAGTTGTTTTTCTGTTGCGTGTTGCAAGAATATATGTTTTTGTTTATTAAAGTTATGATTTTATAGAGTATTATTATTGTTTCTACTAGTGTGTTAGAAAAATATATATGTTTCTGTTCAACCTGTCTGACGATATTTTATTTTGCAAAACTTCACATCAGTTCTCATTGCTCATGCTCAGTGAACTACACAACTTTGTTACTAATTACAAATTCTAAATTCGCTATGTATTTATTTAACCAACGATTTGATATCTAATTTCATCCGCACCCTCTGTTAGACAGTACCAAAACCTAACAACCGAAGCAATGCGTACGTACGATTAGTTACCGACACCAATTCCGCATCCGCATAGATTCGTATCACAGTAACGAAAGTAACGAGTAACGAATATTTTTATACGGGTAGTTAGATCCGAAGTAACGAATACATACGGGTATTGATTTTCTCGTTACTTTTACAGCTCTACAGAATAGACCCCTATGTATATAATATAATGTGGTTTATTTCCTTTAATTCAGAAAATGCTTCTTTCTTTTTAATTCTAAAGTATCTTTCTGTTAAATATGATTCCAATAGGTCCGAATATTGTATTAGTAGTAATTGTATTTAATTATTTCACTTATTCGAGTATTTCGTTTTTGTTTCAGAGAAAATGGTCAAACACTTGGAACTTATCTCATAATTAACGAAACCAAGCCAGAGGATCTCGCACAATATGTTTGTATAATTACCAAACCAGGAATTACGATTGAAAGATACGTTTATGTTCGAGAAAAAAGTAAGTTTACAACAAAACACATTATTTAAAAATAAAGTGATGTAAATGAATCATATTAATGATTATGATGAACTCAAAAAATGTATTTTTAAATTTGTGTTTTAGGCGAAGAGGTTGTTTATTTAGATCCAAACCCAATCCCTGTAGGAAAAATGATGATAATATTGCCTCTGATTGTCTTCGTAGTGATCGGTCTTCTTATTATCTACTGGAAATACGGTCTTAAAATACAAGTCCGCCTAAAGGATACTCTTAATTCAGTGGAAGATAACGATGGTAAAGAAAAGGACGTCCTCATTATATTCGCACCTCAAGATACCGAAATTGCCCAAGGGGTGCTGTTGCCAACTTTACAGGATAAATATAATTACAAATGTGGTGTCAAAGAGCTGACATCTACTATCAATAAATGTAAGCATCTCGAAAATATTCTAAAACTTACTTTCCTCTTTTTCCCCGCCAGTATAATTCTAAAGAAATCCCATCTTGTTTCTGTTTTCAGGGTACACGGACTTGAACGAGGAAGCCCAAAAATATCGAAGAATAATTGCTGTGCTATCACCAACTTTAATTAAAGATAATTGGGAGTCGAATCAGCTCAGACTCGCTTTGAAGCAACTAAAATCGCTCGGACCACAGTTGATCTGCATTTCGCTGAAAGAACTTCCCAAAAATGAAAACGAAGAGAAAGATGCTCAAGGAGAAACGTTGAGTACTTTGATAAGGTGAGTTATGTCAGATTTATTACAACTTATGCCGCATTTTGTTACTATACTCTGTTTATAAACTAAGAGGAGCGAATTGAAAAGTCCTATTTACACAGGGAAAAATAACTAGATATCATTTTAGCGGTAAATTTGAATTTGTCTTGTATCATTTCAAGAAAAATATTTCAAAACTTTGTTATGAATTCATTGAAGTCAAAGTTTTAGATAACCAACGAATAAAGATGACACTAAATTGTGCTCATTCCGTTTTTGATTTATAATTATTGTATTTTAGTTGTACTTTTATTTTTTCCTTACTTCGTCTCATATCACAGCTCTGACTAGAATGTTGGGAAGAGAATCGTCCATTCGCCCAAGCAGCGCTCAAATTTCAGTAAATTGAGTAAAATGTCTCCCAACAAAATACAAAATAATTTACATTTTGAGTTTAACATACAGTTTTAATTCATTGTTTTATAAGTAACTGTGATTAGAAAAGTATATATCTATTATAATAATTTGATGGAAAAATTAGAAAAATAGGTATGCCAGTTCTATTTGTTGAAATGAAATTAAGCACCTATTATTACCTACCTATTACAAAACATATTTTAGAGGGACTGAAAAATATGTAGTTGAAGAAAAGCTTATTTAAAATGAAGAATTTTGGCAGGTACAAAAAATAAAGTTTATTTTTATATTTCTTTATAGGTATAGTTTAATTTGTAATATTTTTTCTTAAAATTAAACTACAAGATTACCATTAGTTGTATGGATTTCCTAATTAAATAAGGGTTCTTTCTTCAGGTAAAATGTAGCAAAGTTCTGAAGTATGATACGATATGTTTGCAGACAAGTGTTTTGAAATGAAATAAATCAAATCTATACGAATTTTGTCTCCACTAACAAGATGTTATATTCAACAGTCGAAAGTGTAAACTTGTGGGCAATAGCTTATTAAATGTATGTAGAAGTCCAAGAAAGTGCAATGGTACCAGCTTTTACTATAATAATAATAATAATGGTTTTTATCATTCTCCTGTTTTTTTGTAGATATGATTTATAATTGTAGCTTAAATTCCACATTGTGTATCAAAATGTCTTTGGCCTTCTTGAAAACATATTTTTATACAATATAAAGCAGATGGTATATTTTTTTGAGACATCCTTCAAGCCTTTCGAAAACTAAATGTTTATTTGCAGGTAAGATAATATCTATCTTAATTTTGTATGATCATTTAGTGTATAGACAAATAATTAAATAAAAATTATTAAGGCACAAAAAAGGTAATTTGTAACTTTGTATCAGTAGAAGGATTTCCTACTCCCAATTTAATATATTTTTTACAAATAAATAAAATTTCTTTAGTATGATCGGTAGATATTTTTAATAATTCAGCACTACATATGTTTCGGAATCTTCTGGTGCAGTCACAGCTTTTCAAAATTTAAAAAAACATTTAGGAACATAAACACTTTAAAATGATCATGGACGAAACCCATATTTTGTGATAGTGTGTAGGTAGCTTACAACTAGTTGATTAAATTAAAATACACGTTTGACAAATCTTTTACACATTCGCAGAGTTTAATATGTGTAAGTGTAGTTATAATCTTTGCAGTCTATTTTATAAACTACATTTAGTTGAGTTGCTTTCTTGAGTTTGGGTTTAAAAGTTTAAAATAAGGTTTCGTTTACGAGCAATTTTTACATTATATCTAGAGAACATTTTTGACACTTGTTTGGAAAGTCCTTTTACATATAGCAATTTAATGTTTAAAAAAGGGTGCCACACCAAATGTTACAGTGATAACACTTTATGCTTTTGACTATTTAAGTACCAAGCTATTTATTTAAAATAATAAAACAAGGTATTTGTTTTAGGTTAAATAATGAAAGTTTTGGAGGCCACAAATTATGGACATATTCAATTATAAATATATCCAAAATATTTTGTAGTTTTAAATGTTAATTAACAATTTTGTAAATGGTTTATTTTCAAATAAATAAAATTTACTTTAATATTTAGTTATATTTTAGTCATTTTGATTAGAAATTCATTAATTTTTAGTTAAAAAAAAAAAAATTAGTAATAAAGTTGTATTTTTTTTTAAGTAGAACACCAAAAAAGCAATATACACCAATTTATAATATTGCGGAAAAAATGCTGCCATATATTCCAGAGGTTTAAATATAACGATTTAACCCAACTTATATCAGTCCAAAAGTGGATGATTTCAGAAATACAAAGTTCAATTTAGTTTTTCATAAATAATTTTTTTAATATTTAATGTATTTTTAAAATATTTGGTTAGGAAGGGTTTGTGAGGTAAAATATTTAAAGCTGTTCCCATTTTTATTGTAAAATTTAAAGGACGCCTTTTTTATAAATCCAATTTCTCAAAAACGGCTGCTCAAATCTACTCTTACCACATACCTTGCAGAACAAGAATTTTTATTTAAGTTAAATACAGAGTGGCGATTAAATGTGTGTAAGGTACAACAATTTTACAATAAAAATGAGAGCAGTTGTAATTTTTGTATACTACACTGTAGTTTTGTAATTTTTTTTTAATATGGGCTAGAAAAACAACATATGAATAGTAGTATCTTTATTTTGTAAATTTGTTATAATATTTTAATTAATAATAAAGTTTGAAAAATAAAACAAAAATACATAAGAGGTGCCTATACAACATAATAAGTGAAAAGACAAAGTACATCTTGACATTTACATTGAATCAGAAACAAAAAACACTAAGTACTCAATATGTTAATCTACATCAGAAGATTTATTTGTGCCTCTATCAATTCTATGGGATTTGACTCGCAGTGATATGGGGCAGCCACTACACAACTTTATTGGTTTCTTAGCCTTTACATCGACAACATTCAACTTATGTGCATCTCTATGTTGCCAAATTAGGTGTAAAAGTTGATATCACTTCATATTTAAATAAATTTAATATTTTTAGTTTTGTAACCATTCCTGTCAGATTTTTTTGATGACAGAGGAATTTTTTCAACTTTTTGACTATGATATGATACATTTTCCATCACAATCATAGCATAATTAGAAAACTTTGTAAAAAATGTAGAAAACCAATTCTAAAATACTTCGGATTTTGTCTCGTCAAGGTAAATGCATTTTCTACAAAACCTTCAGAATTAGCACGTATATTAAGGCACCTGCTTTTGGCTTTTCAGGCCTGTTGATAAAGCTTATTATGATCTTCATCAAAGTAGAAGCTTGGTCTGTTTTATTTTCTATATTGTTTGATGGATTTTAAATCTACGTATATAGTGTTCTTGACAATTTCTTTTCAAATATCTAAAAAAATATACATAATAAATAAACAGTACATTTGACTGGTCAAATTTACAAACTTACTTAGTTATTATATCTCAAGACAGTATATAAAGATGAATAATATATTTGTGGCAAATCTAAATATTTCAATTCTTGCAAAATTTTATTCAATCTAGATAACTCATTTTTGAAAAAGAAATCGTGTACTAATCTTCGAATAGCATTTATCATCATCATAATCAAATGTTTCTAGAACTCCTCGTCTTCCATAAATACTTTTTAGACTAGATATTGTTCCATTATTGCGGTATTATTTCAATAATCGGTAAGTAGTTGACTTTGACCTGTAAGAAAAATATTGAGTATTTAATATTATTTTTAATTTGAAAGTAATGAGTAAAACTTACTGGTAGCTTGAGAAATTTTGGATATAACATCAACAATTTTGGTTTTCGTATTATTATCCAATACCTATTTGTACATATTTATTATTTACTGCTTTTCTGAGAGACTTGAATAGCCTAAACTGATTCGTTTTCGTTGTTTTGATGGACTCCGCGAGGAACTGTTATAATAGTATTCGATGTAGAAGGATCCATAATCGTAGAAATTCAATACAATTGCTTACTAAAGTTTTGAAAAGAACTGTTATTAAAGAAATAAAATAAAAAACTAAGTAATAATGATGAGATATCAAAGCAATAACAAAACTTAAATTATAAAAGGTCAGAATCGAAAATAGAACTGTCAACAGTAGCTAAAAAGTGATGTGTGAAACTGACTTCAATCTGACCAATTAGAAGTCTACAGAATTGCCAACTTCAATTCAAATCGCTCCTCTTAGTTTAAAAATAGAGTATAGTTATTATTGACTAACCTACAATTTTAATCTAAAAATATTATAAACTAATTACTTATCTAAGAAGTCCCCATTGGGTTGTCTTAATTGTTTCTATAGGAAAGCATCACAAGTTGGCGTGACGATTTATTACACTGTTTTTATACTAGCACTGAAATTAACGTTCACTGCACTAGCTCAAATGGCTTCTTCCTTTTGTGCCTTCTGTTGAGTGTAGAGTTGTCCAATAATTGCAGCACTTTTTCGTTGACGTGGGAGTGGAGTCGACCCTCATCTTTCGCAGCAAACCTCTTTATTTCTTCTTCGATTGTTGGCATCTTCAGGTCTCTATGAAGATAATTGTTTCGATAGAACCAAGATGCATCAATAATGCAACTTAGGACTTTATTTTGGAAAACTTGTATCAGCTTGATATTACTTTTGCTGGCACATTCCCATAAATCCAGATTGGTTTTAGGATTTGTTTATAAATCAGCAGTTTTGTTGTACACTGACAATTTGAATTTTCTTCCTAGGAGTCAGTACATTTTTTTGAATTTAAGTTCAAGTTCTTTACGCTTTTTTTATGTGCTCTTTCTATTTAAGTCTTACATCATGATGCGGAATAATATCATTGTTTATTCTTATTTGTATTTGTTCATTTGGTCGAAGAGTAAAATCAACATGCATTGATTTAGTTTGATTTATTTTTACTTTCACTTTTTTGTCCATCGATTGATTATGTTGCAGGTTTCGTGAAGTTTTTCTGAGGTTTCTGTATTAGTTCCGCCAATTGCCAATATTACAGTGCCATCCGCAAATGTTGCTATTTTAACACATGGTTGGTGTTTAATAAGTAAAGAACCGGT